GGATTTTGCTACTCCTTTAGGACATTTAAGATTTCATAATTTTTTGGATCATATGTAATCTTTTCTTTTTTTTTTGGTTGTTCATGGGGATTGAACTCTGTGCCTGGGTGCTGTCCCTCAGCTCTTCAGCTCAAGCTGAGCACTCTACCATTTGAGCCACACTACCACTTCTTGTTTTCTGGTGGTTTATTTGAGATAAGAGTCTCACACTTTTGTGCCTGGGCTGGTTTTGAACTGCAATCCTCAGATCTCAGACTCCTGAGTAGCTAAGATTACAGGCATGAGCCACTGGCATCCGGCTCATGCTTATCTTTTAATTGCTATATGTTTTTGGTATCCTAGTACTGTAAAAATCTTCATAAAAATTACAATCTGATTTTTCTCCACAGCCTTATTAAAACCTCTGCCACCAGCACATAGCTCACACTCATGCACCAGTGTAGACCTTTATATTACAGGGGGAAGAATCTTTCTAGAGAAAATTTCAGGTCTGTCCAAAAGAGATTGGTCACTCCATGGCCTGAGCAAATAATCTTATGTAGACTACATCTTATGACAATACAATTTCATTTCAAATCACACCCACTAATTAGTTTGCTAAGAATTGCTTTTGCTATGCAGGGTCTTTTGCAGTTCCATATAAATTTTTGGATTGCTTTCTTTATCTCATTTAAGAGTGATGTTAGGCTTTTAAAGCCTATTGCATTGAATTTATAGATTGCTTTCAGCAGGATTGCCATGTTTATGGCAATTCTACCAATCCAGGTACATGTGAGGTTTTTCCATTTCCTTAAGTCTTCCATTTCTATTTTTAAAGTTTTCACCATGAGGGTCCTTCACATCCATGGTTAAATAAATATGAACAATAGACACAAGAAGAAATGCACAACATCTCTGGATGTAAAGAAAATGCATATTAAGACAACATTGAGATTCCACATCACCCAAGTTAGAAAGACTATCAAGAAAACAAACAATAACAGATGCTGGAAAGGATGCAGCCAAAAGGGAATCCAAATACACTGTTGGTGGGAATGTTAGCTTGATCAACCACTCTGGAAAGCAGTACAAAAGTTTCTTAAAAAATTAAACATAGAACTACTTTATGATATAGCAATTCTACTCCTGGGCATTTACCCTAAAGCCAGTATACAATAAAGCCACCATCACAAATGTGTTTATTGCAGCACTATTTGCCATGGCCAAGGTATGGAATCAGCCCAGATGCCCCTCAATGGACAAATGGATCAAGAAAATGTGGTATATATGCACACAATGGAATCTGACTCATCCATAAGAAGGAATGATATTGTACCATTTGTAAAGAAATTAAAGCATGTGGGCAAATTATGTTAGTGAATTAAGTCAAGCCCAAAGAGACAAAGGATCCATGTTTTCCCTTTTATGTAGAAGTTAGATTTAGCTTACAAACTTATAAGTAAACACATTGAGTAGTATGCATCTTAACTGGTGATTGCTTAATGTGGATTTTGAGCTTGCCTGAGGTTCATTTTGCAAGCTCAGACCTCATACCAAGATTTTTCAGACCATCACTGAGGAGTGCTTCTCTTTGGACAGCAGATCTTCTACAGTCAAGTGATGCCTCTACTGTTCTCATCTGCAGAAAGTTCTGCTTGAAAATTATATGAAAAAAACATGTTCATGATTCCTCTGGAGATACTCCTGTATTCTTGTTAACTCTGGAAAATAAAATAACTGAATAATCAAAGAAAACCTTCTAAATGGTACAACTGGAACCATACTGTAGACCAACTTTACTAATTGTAATAATTTCTCAGCTAATCCAATATTAGCAATTTCAAAAGGTATAGTCCATAAATTAATGAGCAAATATTTTCTGAGAAGCTACCAAATGCTAAAAAACTGTTTTTTTTTAAATCTGTACAGATATCCTGGGTAGACTGACTAGAAAATAGGAAATTCATTCATTTCAAAGGCTATTGTGGAGAAAGAATCTAATGCCACACACTAGAGTTTTTTGAATCTATTATGATTGATATTTTCCCCATGTTATAACTACATATGCTGTTTGGAACACATGTGAAGTGGGTCCTTAAAAAACTTTTTGAGCTAAATATTTAGCATGAAATGGCCAAGGTCTGGCACTGAACCATGTGTTTTTCAATGATTCCAATTTTTCATATTATTTTAAAGCTTCAAAGGCTTTTATGTTTATGATAAATAACAACTAACATTTAGGCATCAATTTTTGCAAAGCATCCTCACATACAGTATTCTCATTTAAGATAGAAAACATAATACAAAGTGTGCACTAGCTATGAAGTAGAATAATAGGAAGAACTTAAAGGTAATCAAGTGTGTTTGTGTGCATTTAAAAAATAATGTAAAAGGGGCTGGGAAAGTGGCTCAGAGGTAGAGCTCTTGCCTTGCATGCATGAGGCCCTGGGTTCGATTCCTCAGCACCACATAAGCAAAAAGAAAAAAGCCAGAAGTGGTGCTGTGGCTCAAGTGATAGAGCAGTAGCCTTGAGCTGAAGAACTGAGGGACAGCGCCCTGGCCCAGAGTTCAGGCCCCACGACTGGACCCAAAAAATGTAAAAAAAATGTAAAATATTAAATCCTGTGTCACCAAACCTCTGGAATACACAGGGGGAACCAATTTCAGTTCTGCCTGTGATTAAGCATCACTGCCCACCTCAAGACAACCGAAAGTTTCTCTGGTTCACATTAACTGGACATCCTTGTCAGCCATGCAGTTATTACAGCCCCATATTACTGACTGATGTTTCTGCAGTAAGGAGGCCATGTGCTTTCTCACTCATCCCAGTGCAGATGCGGTGGACCCACTTCAGACAGAAGGCCTCACAGATGATGGCACCCTGATCATCATTCACTTCATTTGTGCAAATTTCACAAGGATACACAGAGTCAGAAGACCAATGGCCAAGGAGGCTGGGGTGTAGGGAGGATTTATTGCTTTTCTTGGCACTGCACAACTCAGCTGAACCACTGGGGTGCAGTGGCTTATTCTGTGTCCCATTTGCATGGATGCCGTTTGTGGCTTCAGTGCTACTTGAATGGCTGTTCTCTGGATTGACTACATTGTTTCGGGTAACATTTTTCAATTCAATATTACTCTGACTCACCGTGTCCTCCATATTTAAGTGAAGTGGAAGAGTGGAGGAATGTTGATTTGTGCTTTGGTGGCTCCTTGGGGAAAGTCTTGTTTCAGAGGTGGTGCTTTTGCTTGGCCAAAAGTATTTGGAGGTGGAATAAAAGAATGATTCACTCTAATGAAGGGGGTAGAATGTGAGTTATTTGCAAGCAACTTGCCCAACATTCTGTGGAGGAATCTAACTGAAGTTTTCAGTGGGATTTTGTCTAAAATGTTGATTAGGTATGTTAACATTTTGACTTAGCACATTATTATAAAATGGATTTCCAAAACTGTAATTATCATGTGGCCCAAAGTTAAAAGCATGAGGTCAGTTAAAACCCATGCCCGAAGGATTCTGAAGAAATGGATGTGGCTGACTCCTGAGTAAAGGACCACATAGGGAGAAGACATTCTTACATTTTGGGGGGACCTGTGGTGGCATTCTGAATGTGTCATAACCTCCAAAACCAGGATAATTGGGGCCAAGATATGGATTTGATGAAGGCAGTGGTTTTTTAGGAAATAGTATTATAGTTGTCATCCAATGGATTACCAGAGTGGGGATTTGGTGGTGGAGCATACTCTGTCAGTGGAGGAAAAGAATGTCCCTGTGCATTTGCCTTGTGTTTTATGGTTTGTGGACTTCCTGGTTGTAAACCTGGTTCTCCTAACCCATCCAGTACACTACCACCACCGGACTCTCTTCAGCACCATGGGGTCCTTATCTTGTTCTGTGGACATCAGGGTCCATGGGGGGCATTGCTCCCAGGCCTTGTGAATCCGGTCTCCATGCTGCTACAGCAGTGGTGGCGGCTCCTCTCCACCATGGGCCTGCCCGCCCACCTCTACCCCCCCACTTCTACCCCCCTTCCCAAGTCTCCTGTGCCTACTCCACCTCTGCAGCAATAGGGCCGACTTTGCAAACTTTAGGAGGAGGCCGAGGCCCCTGCAGCTGCACGAGGCCCTTGGTGGGAGTTGAGGTGAGCTCAGGACAGGGGACCCAGGACCCGGGCCATGGATCCTGGCAGAGGAATCACGCAGACCAGGTCAGCCCTCACCACCCAGAGGATGAGGGCAAGGAGGGGGAGGAGGAGCCCAGCCCCACCTCCACAGCTGCAGCTCCAGGTCTCAGACACAAAGCCCTGGGCCAGGAAGCTGCCACCAGCACCTGCTCCCAGGCTAGCAGGCAATGGACTCTTACATAACTTGCTGGATCCCATGATTGGTGTAGTAGGAGCAAAGATTGAAAATAAAGCTCTTGCCTTCATTTTAGACAGTCACAATTCTGTGGTGACCTTTCAATTTGGTTGTGTCTAGAGAAAATGAGGCAAGTATAGCACCAGAGTCTGGTACCAGTGGTTTACTCTGGCAATTCCAGCTAGATGGAGAAGGATATGTCTGGTGAATTATGCTTTGAAGAATAGAAGGAAGAGCACAATCCAAGGCTGGCCTAGGCAAGAACATGAAACCTCATCTGAAAACTAACCCAAAGCAAAAAACAGCTGTAGCTGTAGTTCAAGTGGTAGAGTACATTCCAAGTAAGTGCAAAAACCTGAGATCAGGGTTTTGATCACCTGAGATCACCACCCATCCCAAAAGAGTTGTGTGAGATTATGACATTATTTCCAGGCCAGTAAATTATAATATATACCATGTGCTCAGGACAGGACAGCATCTCTCCCTGTGCAGGAAGCCTGTGACAGGACATAAGCAAACCTGCCCTATATCTGCTGGCTGTGTTTCCTGTTGGGTGACGTATCACAGAGCACCCAAACCTTGTAGTTTCTATTGAGCTAAAAGTTTAGATTACTATCTGGATTTGAGGCATAACAGAGTGTCTCAATCAGGGGAAGAGCACTACTATGCTGATTACTAGCCTGCTGGGGGCAGCCATTGCTTCTTTCTGTCTTGGTAAGGATTTCCACTATCACAGGGCTCAGGCTCTTCTCAGTCATGAAGTTGATAGTAAGAGGAGCTTTGTTTTCTAAGGAAACTCAGAATGGAAGGAATCACAGCTTCAAGCCCTAAATTCCTTCATCCCTTGGTTATAAAAAAAAGTCAGTCTGACTCTGTCCTCTTTATTTCAGGAACCAGCATGGCCCAGAAGGTAACTCAAGCTCAAACTTCAGTTTGGGTGGTGGAAAAGGAAGCTGTGACTCTCGACTGTTTGTATGAGACTGGGGAATCCTATTACTCCATCTTCTGGTACAAACAGCCACTAGCAGGGAAATTGATTTTGCTTGTTCGTCAGAACTCTTATGATAAGCAAAATGCAACAGAGGATCATTATTTCCTGAACTTCCAGAAATCATCCAGATATATCAACCTCACCATCACAGGCACACAGCTGGAGGACTCAGCTGTGTATTTTTGTGCACTCATAGAGCCCACAGTGAGAGGAGAGCCTTCAGGTGCCTTACATAAACCTCAGCCAGAGCAAGAGACCCAGGGAGAGAAGCAGGTCTGTGGACACAGGTGTGACTTACAGGGGAACTGTAGAGCAATTCACATACAATGTCTATAGACACACCACCTAGTAGACATGTGTGTCTAACACATCTAGAATAGTTTTCCAATGATAAAACCATACACACTACCCAATCTTGTTTAGTGTTTACTTTAAATAAACATTTAATGTGCATGCCTAACCTTGAGACATTTGCTCTGGGACTTATGGGAAATCACCTAATTTTATAGATACAGACTTCTATATGGAGTCATCCTGTGAAGAAGGACCTCATCCCCTGGGCCTGCTCCATGTGCTTGCCCAGGGTATGTACATCTATTTCTCTCTTTATTTGCCTCTCAGTCTGTCTCCCTGGCTCTCTCTATGTACACACACACACACACACACACACACACACACACACATACACATACACACACACACATGAGAGATAGCTATCTATCTCTATATGCATAGAGATAGAGAAATAATAATGGAAAGAAAACATGACACTGGAGACTAAAAAAAGCAAATCAAAACTGAGTTGGGAAATTAAGCAGAGATTGGACAAGCAACAATCAATAACAGAGCAGTTGAAGCATTATTTTTAAGTTTTTAGAACATGAGAACTTAAAATTTATATATAATATATGTAATTATATTATATATATAATATGTATAATCTGTGTCTACAGAGAACTTCTTAGCCAGTTCCAAAGCATTAATATTGAGGGCTGTAATATCACCACACTTCAGTGGATGTTTCATATTGGATATGGTTAAGGTTTCCTACAATGCAAGAATTGTGATTCCCAGTGTCACATTGTAAAAATTGTCTAACTAAATATGAATAGGATGAAAAGTTAACAACAAAGCATAACCAGCAGAACAAGTCCAAGATGTTGCTGACTCCATAGCATTATACTCAAAAGTTTGAGTCAGCAAGATCAGAAAGACAAATATAAGCATTGGTACAAGCTGAACTATTACTCTGGAGGGAAGTAATTAATATGGAATAAAATTGTAGGTAATTTCAAAGCTATTGTAGGAAGTAATTAATGTGGAATAAAAATATAGGAAATTTCTCACAAAATACAACATTTTGTGAGAAAAGTCAAGCACAAAGAAAATTATCTCATGGTTTTGCTCATAGGAATCTGGGCCTAAATAAAATATTACATGATTGCAAAAGAAGCAGTGTGTGAACATATTCAAAATGCATTATATGTGTAGCATGCTCTGTGTGCGAGTGTGTGTGTGTGAATAGCATAATGAAATCAACTAAAATGCTAAAATGAAGGGAGGAAGAAAGTGTTAGAACAGAGTAAAAGAAGAGGTTAATGTTATCAAAATATTATATGCCTGTATGGTCATCTCACACTGAGACTCCTTTGTACTTTATGCTAATAAAAAAATAAATTCTTTTTTGCCAAATGAGATATCTTTTACTTATCTCAGTTTATGTAAGAACATAGTGTCTGATTTATAATCTATATTAAGGATTCATTTTATAAACACTGGATAGGAATAAAATACCTTAAAGTCTATCTTTTGAGTTCAAAAACTGGGTGCCGGTGGCTCATGCCTGTAAACCTTGCTAATCAGGAGGCTGAGATCTGAGGATATCAGTTTAAAGCCAGCCTGGGCAGGAAAGTCTCCAATTAAGTGTGTATGAGTATGTGCACACACGGGCACGCATGCACATGCGCATGTGTGTGTGTGTGAATACAACCAGAAATGGAGTTATGGCTCAAGTGATAGAGCATTAACCTTGACAAAATAAAGTTCAGTGATAGTGTTCAGGCCCTGAGTTCAAGCCCCAAGACTGACACACACACACACACACACACACACACACACACACACACAAATACAAGTATACCAAAAATACTAGTATAATTATTACACTTACAAGTTCTCTTTGAAGTTATCATGTGAAAATTTTCATAGTTCTTGATTCTAACACTCTTTTACAGTGAGGTATAAACACAACACAATATATTCCTGTGTCACAGTGCAAATTTAGACTATTCATCTCTAGGTTTCCACCACTATCATGTGAAGAAAGAGTACATCAGTACAGTCTTTCACATGCTCCATAGTAAGTTATTTAAGGATATTTTTACATGAGGAGGAAAAACAGATCTTTCAAAAGCAGTGTGACAGATTGAAAATTAAATGGATACAGTTTACTACTATTGCTTGGTTTTCAAGGCAATCAGATGTTTCTGATTCTCAGTCTCAAACATAAGGACAAAGCAGTTTGATCTAGTTTTCCTATACCTCCTTGAAATCTAATAACATAGTTGACACCTAAAGAAAGAATATAAAAATATTTTTCTTTATATGTATTATTTGAAACAATTTAGACATCTAATCTCTGGCAAAATGTTCACACACAGCAATAAAATAAAGTGATAGAATTGGAGGTACATACTTCATGAAGAAATGTCAAAAAGAGACTTCTGGAAAGACCTACAATTTCATTTGAGAGAGTGCTTCCTATTATCCTCCTCTCAACAACTTCTGAGGTACCTGTAGCTATGAAATTTTGTTTCTGGTACTGAGTTCAGAGGGCATCTTAGCACCAAGAAATTAGCAGATTGGAAAAGATAGAAATGATGAACTTTTAGAACAAGTGTCTCTGCCTCCTTGCAAGTATTCCGTGTTAGAAAAAGAGATCTTGATGGATTTGTACTTACATCTGCTGAGACCCCTTACTGAGCCTGTACTACAGATGACAATAGTATTTGAATGATTACCTCCTTCACGAGTCACCATTTTAGAAATTATTAACCCGATCATCAATATTTAGCACCACCTAAACCCCAGATACTGAAGATGCTTCTGCTTTTTCACAGAAAACTTCTCTCTCAGGTGGCTTGTATTTTATTGGCATATTTTCAAATTAATATATATCTAACAGTCTGGTTATGAAAACATTGAAAAGGCTTTTTACAAAAAAATCACTCTGAAGAAAAAATCTAGAATCTTGTATTCTTGTATGAACACTAATATAGGAAAGTCTATTGTGATAAGCTACTGACAGAATCCCATCCAGAACATGAAAAGAATTTCTATAAACCTTGTAAGAGGACAATGCCCTATCGGAAAATTATTATAATACGTCATAGAAAAGGTGGTCCAAAATCCAACAAACCCTAACAAAGTTCCAACTTGATCAGAACTGAGAATATGCAAACTAAAAATCAGGAGACACAGATTCACATCCATCAGATGGACAAAAATTAAATTGAAATTTCCCTGCTTTGGTGAGATTAATCTGACCATAGAATTTAGGCACTGCCAGCTTTGACTATCATAACCACACTGATTGAAGAATGACTGAATGCTCAGAATAGTCAGGACATCAACACTGCTAAGAGTCTGAATGTCTCACTTGTCTCTCTATCCAGCATGTGTATTAGAGATCTCAACACATTGTATGTGTTTAAAAGCTCCATTATAATATGAATTAAGTTGTAATATGATATAAGGTCAGTATATGTAGGTAATAAAGTGTGTGTTTTTGAAGACATCATAATCAAGTAGAAAACAGATTTTATATAATAAGACTTCTGTTTTGATAAAATATATTATTTTAAAATCAGAATAACACTTGCCACATATTTACAACAATTTTCTTGCAGTTATCAGAAGTGACTTTAACCTCATTTATTCAATTATAAAATATGAGACAATAAAGGACATAGAAACAATGCTTTATTTTATTAAAAATGTAGAAAATTCCTTACTAGTTGTTTCCAATGAGTACATGATGATCAACTTCTGAAGGATTCATCTTCTAAGAATGCAGCCAGTTATTGACCCTAGAAATTAAGTGCAACTTTGCAACTTGCACACATGGGCGCTAGCACTCTCTTGACTGTCCTTATAAGCCACAATTCAGCATTGAGGTACTGTCTTCTATTCACCCTTAAGTGAATTCATCTTTTTTCCAGTCTCAGCAGGAACAAGGACAAGAAGACAAAAAAGCTCAACTACTCCACTTTCCTGGTGACAGTACTTCATAAAGTTATGTTTTCCTTATTCACTTTGCCAGCAGTGTTGACAGCATCTTTGCTGTTTGGGAATCCAAGGAACATTGCCTTTGATCTATTTGTGTCTTATGTTGAGGTTCTTGGCATGTTAGCAGCAATAGTGAACCCCAATAAGAGAGTAATTCAGAGATAGGAACAGAAGCAGGTCTAGAAAACCAGTGCCAACTCCCTGCCGCCAGCAGGAAAAGGAACTGCTATATACTTCCTATTCAACTAATCTTGCTCCTTATTACTCATCCTGTTCTCATCCCATTTTTCCCAACTTGTATACACACTCACTTGTGACTGCATGACTCTTTTCCTGGTAACACATTCTCTACTTTTCTGTCATAAAGACCAGGAAATTTTGCATGTTTGTCACACAGTGTTTGATATTGTTCACCTATTTTACCTATTTGGATCTTTAACTGTCCAAAGACCAGAAACAAGTCATGTTAATTAATTCAGACCATTGTATGATTTCAAAGGATATGACTCTTGACTGCCCAGAGTTTTATCAGCTTAACTAACTCCAGAAAGCTACCATGGGGATATGTGTCAGAGTGATTGGAAATCAAAGCATACAATGTCTCTTTTACAAAGGCAGAAAAGACAAGAACTAGAATCTAAGCATGGAGGGTTTTAGTTTTTTTGATACATGGTCTTCCTAGCTGATTGCTGGGATTACAGACTTGCATTGCCTGTAATATGCCCTTTAGTTTTAACATTTTTAATTTATTTTTATCAGCTGTGGGGCTTGAACTCAGGGCCTGGACACTGTCCCTGAGCTTTTTTGCTTAAGAATAGGCCTCTATAGCCATAGCTCTATTTCTGGTTGTTGAGTGGTTAATTGGAGATAACTTTTCATGGGGACTTTTCTGTCCGCACTGGCCTCAAAAGGTGATCCTCATATCTTCTCAGCCTTCTGATTAAAAGTATAAGCCATTGGCACCCTTCCCAACTTCCCTTTAAAATCCACATTATTTTGTGGACATTATTTTCTTCTTTAAAATTTGTATTATTTTCTTTGTTATCACCAGGCCTGTTAAAGAACAGATACTTAATAAACAGAAATTGACAGGCTGGATTTTCTCATGCCATTTAGAAATGTTTCTGTCCTAAATTTTGTCTATCCATGGGTTTGGTTCAAGAAATGCAAAATTTGCTGCTATTGGGAAATCCAAATGTTTTTAAGTTCTGAAACTAGCAAAATGGTAATGTACATATGTCCATATAAAGTGATGCTAATCAAAATGAATTCCAAGATATGGAAACAAGAAGTTTTGTTGTTGTTGTTGTTGTTGTTAATGTTCTGTGTGAAATTACATATTTTTTCTTTCATTTTTTTCCTTTGCTTTATTATTTGTCATCACTGTTTTTGATTCTTATACCCTGGGTCTTGTATATATCTTTATCTGATTTGGGGAAGGGAAAGGGAATAACAAAATGGTGAGACAAAGACCAAAGTGTGAACCAATGTAACAGTTACATTTATGAGACACTACATTGGAAATTTCCGAACTTTACAACTTGGGGGAAGGAATTCAGAGGGAGGGAAAGTGGGAGACAAAACAAGGGAGGGAGTAAGAATGTTCAACAATAACTGTACTTATTACTTTACTTATGTAACTGTAACAACTCTGTATATCATCTTTAACACAAAATAAAATAATGTAAAATAAAAACTGGAAGACTGCACAACTGAGAAATTACAGGAAGCTCATGCATGTAATCCTATGTACTCCAGAAGTCAAGATCCAGAGGAAAATAGTTCAAGGCCAGCCTAGGCAGATAACTCCAACTGTCAGCAAAAATAGGAGCTGGAGGCCTTGCTCAAATGATAGAGCCAAGCAATCAGCATAGCAAGCATGAGGCACCCTGAACCTTGAGTTCAAACTATTATTTGCTGGAAAATCCAAGATACACATGGATGTTCATAGGTCTAGGTAACAAATTGCCTTGCAACTCCCTAAAAGTTGTGTTTATGGAGAATCTGGGACCCTTATAGATTTGCTGAATGTTATCTTTCATATTCACTTTCCAGCTCTGGTTCCATGCCTACATCCCTTCTCTCTTAATTGCTTATTAACATGGACCCTTCATTAATATTTCTTATTCACACTCAAACCATAGTTATACTCGTAGAAACTCGTATGACCCCCAAAGAAAAGATCAACATATCGCTTGATTTTACTGAACTAATTTTGTACTGACTTTTATTTTCTAATGAGACTTTTCCCCTTGTACTTAATGGGGGGAAATAAGACATGTTGAAATAAACAGGGAAACAACAGGTAGCAACTCTAAACAAGAATGTTGGGCATCATCACATTTCTAGGGCTTCAGAAAACTGGCCAAGGATTTGGTTCAGTCAAGCTAGTCTGCAAGCCAGAGAGGGTCCCGTGTGATACACACACAGTCTTCTTGTACTGCACCTGGAACCTGGTATAGCAATCATGATGTGTGTAGATGAACCCTGTTTTGTCTAAGTAAAGGGGAGTCAAGGAATTATGCTGATAGACCTTCTGAGTCCTGTTAGTTGTTCTAGATTTAAAATTTGCATCTTTGGCAAACATTGAATACTCTAGATTTGAAATGTGAGCATTTGATGGACATTTCAAACCCCAAGTTTACTACATTTGGTGGAATACTATTTCCCATTATAACTTATGTTGCAGTAGTGGATTACTTTATGATAAATTAATGTCATAAGAGCCTATCAACCTGAAGATTTTGATGCCAGAAATTGTAGATGTGGCAGTGTACAAACATACAGTGAGTCCATGCAAGAAGCCTGCTTGATAGTGACTGCAAGTGTTGTAACTTATCAGCAAAGCCACATTTTGAAGGATGAAATATTGGAGTCTTTATTATACTACTAGCAGTCTGCAGGCTGCCCAGTGTAATGAAGGCCTGCAGTCCTCAAATACACATAGCACCGACAGGAAACAGGCCAGAGAGGAAAAAAAGAACAAAAATAATACCAACAAACCAATTCAGCTCCAATGGAAGGCTGAATAAGGATGCCATGATGACTGGAGATAAGCCAGGAGACAGGAAACAGGACATGATGACTGAAACACACATGGCATGGTGTATGGTGCCTGTGCTGTTCTGGGACTAAATAGGGTCAGTGCAGAGGGCAGGTCCACCAGAAATTCCCAGTGCAGGCCACTGGACTGATAGTTTTAGTAACCTATCAGCTAAGTTCCTGCCCCTGACTCCAGGGGTCAGTGCACCCATCTCCTTCCCCCAGCCAGAAGACCAGATGCCAGACCGTACATTCACCATGTGGCCAATATGGTGCCAGCCCAACCTGACCTCCTTATTTCATTTCATTTCTTCATACAAATTTATAGTAGTTTCATTACTGTGAAAGACATGATCAGATTTGAAGGATTTACTCTCAGCAACCTAATAAATAACATTATTGTCAGTTTTCCATTAAACTTGGGTAGCTTCTCCAAGTTCTTCTTCCCTGCTGTTGAGTGGCTGCACTTGCACACACATCACCACCACCATCACCTCCCTATTTCACTAGGTTCCCTGCAGACAAGTACAATGTTATGGCCATATATCTTGATTGCATAATGATAGCACTAGTTATTTACACTGAAGGAGGAAATTGATCAAGATCTGGTGGTGTTAGGGCTATTGGGTGTCTCAGAAAGCAATTGTTATAATACGGTCCACGGAAGACCCCTGATGTGAAATGAAGTGTGGCTCTTTGTAGCAGAAGGCCAATGTGGGGATTCATCCCTGCATGTGTTGGGACTGTAAAAACAATTGTTGGTATCTTTCTTTCTTTTTTTTTTCTTGGGGGTCCGGTCGTGGGGCCTGAACTTGTTGGCACTGTCCCTCAGCTCTTCAGCTCAAGGCTAGTGCTCTACCACTTGAGCCACACCACCACTTTTGGCTTTTTTCTTATGTGGTGCTGAGGAATCGAACCCAGGGCCTCAAGCATGCAAGGCAAGTGCTCTACCACTGAGCCACCTTCGCAGCCCCAGTTGTTGGTATCTTTCATGGTGGAAATAGTGCCACTATGTGGCAGGCAGTCAAAAGCAAGAGCTGCCTATTTCAATGAAGAGTGGACAAGAGGAGATTGAAAGATTGAAGCCTTTTCCAGTAGTATTATATCCATTGCATTTTCATTGTCCATCGATGGTTTAGTTGGTGAAGAGGAATAGCCTCCAGGAATGGGAGCAATGACTCAGTCCATTAGGGGAAAGTGGAACAGCACACATGGGGATAGAGGCACTGTGCTTCTACACATCAGGGATGACATTTTGGGGCCAAGAACAGTTTAGAAGGGCAGCAGGGTGTTTAAAAACTATAGAAGTAGAGGGTACCCTGGATGGAGGTGGACTGGTAGGGGTTGGACACATCACAAGTTACCCATGGTGCAATCTACAGAAGATCTGGGAAATGGATAGTGATAGGATATAGGGAACTGGCAATACTGAAACATTTAAAATGTGTCCCATTGCAGACAGATAGGGTCAGTGCTGGAGGCTGGAAGAGATCTGTTCATCACGGCCTCAGAAGGCAGTTTGGTATCCATGTGAGCAATGTCATCATATGTAGCCTCTGGTTACATGAGAAGTGACCCTGGGAACAACTGTAACAAATGCAGAGGTGGTGCTGCCAGTGCTTACATTGTTCCTGGTCAGTGGAACTGCAGTAAGGGTCCTAAAATTAAGAGCAGGGGTGGGGGGAAATCTACACACATAGGGGTGGAGGAGTCTCTACAGCAGGAAAGGCAAATGTTCAGGGGAGGTGATTTGAGGAAAAGAGATCTAGGAGGGATTGCAGCTCTCTCTATATGACCGTGGTCTTCTTTCTCATTACTTAGCATCCCCAAATTAGAAGTAGTGGTACAGAGAGTAACAGGGTCTGCAGAGGGAGCTAAAGGGGAACTTAGGACATTAGGTGTCAGTCCCTCTTTAGTGTTTGATGAGGATGCTTGCAGGATCTCATCCTCAGCAGCCTGCTTGTCCACCGTAGTGACAATGGGAAGATGTGATGTATAGGAGGCAGAGACAGATAGCCATAATTCCCTTCATCAGGTAGAGGTAAAGAAGAGGCAGTCTTGGTGCCACTGCCATCTATCACTACCTCAGTTATATCCTCCTAGGTTTCTGTCTTAAAGATTTT